AGACGGTCCGTGGCTTCACACGTATATAACTTTACTAACCACATTGTACTACACGTTTATCAGAGGTATTTATATAATTTTTTCTACAACTTGTTTGAGCCGTGAGAATACCCCTAATTTTGGTTTTTCACTTTAACAGGTTGCGTTTCCTTAGTCAAAAATAGTACCAAAGCTTCGCTAATCATGTACTAAGTTTTAAAATTTGTATTACACTGAAGATGGCCACGTACCTTGGCCGAAACGTCTGTAGAATTTTATAAATAAAAGGAATTTTTGAGCAAATCGATCCAGCTCTTGCTCTATTGGCTATATATATTAAAACGATTTTTAATTTAATTAAGGAAGAGCAATAACCAATTATTATTGTATTTTAATTTACACGCTAGCCTTAACAATGCGTACATTATCTTTTTTAAAATTTGTTCATCTATACTTCGGCAGATATTTATACGGTTTATTAAAGAATTGTATGAAGTTATTTGATTTGATGGTGAAAGTACGATCTCGCATTCTGTTTTTAAAAAAATGTATCCGTTATAATATCATACCTCCGCATCTTAAATGGTCACTTACAAAACATTTACATCTATACCATGTGAACTCATTCAAAAGGTTGACAAATATAAACAGAGATGTGACTAATAGAATTATACGCTTGGAATTAAACTACGGTTATCTCTTTTTACAACACTTAAGAATCGATATTTACAATAACTTTAAACGTATTTCTGATTTGTTACCGATGAATTTGACTTGTGAATTTTTCACAAGTCAGGAAAGACGTGTGTCAAGGTTGTTGCACCAAAAAATTGGGGATCAGGATCGAAAGATCGATTGGCTTATTGCACTGCAGAACAATGAAAAGAAATCTAGGATAAAATCGATTAATTATTCCTTTCACAAGAGAAAAACAGATGATCGTATCGGTGATGTTGGGTCTTTGGAAAAAACAGATAACAATAACAATGAAAATATTAACATTAACATCACACCTGATAATTTTAAATTCACAAATGATTTCGAAATAATACGCGATAATTGGTTTTTGAACATTTCTAATTTTACGATTCCAAATGAAGTATCTCTGCTTTTACAGTTGGGCGATAGATTCAATTTACCGGTAACTAACAAAAAACAGATCTCATTCGAATTCATTAAAAACATAGAAAGAAACATAGAAAGATATGATAAAGAAACTCAGTGTTCTGTAAGGAATAAGGCTACGTCGATTATCGATAATTTTGTGATCTCGGGTAATAACATCGATTTTCTGATTGGGTCTTGGCTCAAAATAACAAAGAAATTCATAAATGATAATCCTGATGTTATTTTCACAAGAGCTGATAAGGGAAACGTCACGGTTGCTTTAAACAAAAAGGAATTATATTAAAAAATAGGAAGATATTCTTTCAGACACAGATACTTATCACATAGTTGAGAGGGACCCAACCAGAAAATTAACCGAAAACGTGCGGACTCTACTTTTAAGATGGAAGGGAAGGGGCTATATCGATAAGCACACATATTTTTATTTATTAAAAACTGACGGGATTTTACCGAGAGCTTATGGTCTACCAAAGATACACAAAACTGGTTTTTCCACTGAGACTAATAGTTTCTTCTATTAACAGCCCTATTTACAATTTAGCTAAATACATACATGAATTATTGTACAATGTTTAAAAAACCAAACAGTTATTAAAAAACAGTTTTAGCTTAGTCAAAAAACTCAATGGAAAACATATCAATCCTGATACTTGCATTGCTTCACTGGATGTTGTTTCTTTGTTCACCAATGTACCGATTGAAAATACGGCCG